GGCCCCACGGCGCGCGGGGCGCTCCCGCAGCCGCGGGCTCCGAGTGGGTTTGGCCGGCGGGGAGGCGGGCTGGGCTGGCATGTGCGGCGGGCTGGAGCGCGGGGCCCGGGCCAGCCTCGCCAGAGCCCTGCCAGCCGCCGTGAGTCATTTCCTTGGAATCCTACCTTTGGTGTTTATTTCCCTTAGAAGGAAACTTGGTTTTAAAAAAGAAGAAGAAGAAAGAGAAGGAAGAAAGAATAATAATAGGTCCTATTCTTCAGAAGAGGCACACGGCTCTGACACCGTGGATAGACAACTTGCCTTTGTTCCCCGTCACTTGGGGTGTTGTTTACTTTCTCCTGCGGCCACAGGCTGGGCGCTGCTTCTACCTGGGAGAAGGGGCTCAGGGGTTGCCGCACCCACCCCTAGGGGTGTGTCTGGGCGAGAGGCAGGACGTGCGGGCCTGCAGAGGGTCAACTCTCCCAACCTTAGACCTCCCACCTAGGCCTGCGCTGGGGAGAGCTGACGCTGGAACTAGGACCTCGGGCACTCCTTCATCTTCCTGAGGCCCAGCACCCCCAACCCTAGCCTCAGGAAGCAACCTAAAGCTCTTGGCCTCGCGGGGCTGCAGCTGAGAAATGAATGCACTTGCTTCGCAGGGCAGACAGGTGTACTGCAGGGACCGGGCTGAAAAGCGACATCTGTCTGTTTAAAAGGGCTGAAGGATTTTGTTCTGCCCATCCAGCGCCTTCCTTCCCCACCACCAAAGGCTGCCGGACGAACTACCAGAGTCTTAGGGACAGGTACAAGATCAGGGGCTTGATTGCGCCTGGGCAGGATGTTTAAGGCTGGAGCCTCAGTGGCATATTGGTAATATCAGCCCTCTAAGTTTCCTGCTTTCCAGGGTCGGAATCTGACCTGGAACTGCTGTAATGTTCTTAATAAAGTGTTTTCCAATCTCCAATGCCACAGAAGGGGTGGACAAAAAATGGTCAGGAGCCCCCTGTTAGATAAAGGTGCCCCAGAATCCATAGCTACCCTCTTCTAGGTGCCAGCCACTCCTGTTAGCATCATAATGGCTCTACAGAACAAGCCCAACTACCAATCTGGAAAAACCAAATTGTATGGAAATGCCTGGTAACTTTACTATGAGTATTTGTTGGAAAAACTTGACATTTTAGCTGTCACCCTTCTGGTCATGTGTAAGGTGTCACTTCCCTACATCAATGTGAGTGACAGAGCAGACATGCAGGACCCTTGAAGATAAAGCATTAAATGTTTTATTATTATTATTATTATTTTATTTTTAAAACCCATTCATAGACAAAACACACTTTAACACCCTCTTTAACCCGATGTTTAAAAAAAGGCAAACTTGGGACCAGCAGTTGGTGGCTATGTCACTGGACTCCCATGTAGTTGACCGCCATTCAAGTCCCGGACCCAATGACTTAAACTCATGTCGGGCGCATGTGCAGCATGCCCAAGATCCTGAGAGGAGAATGGAGGAGAAGGGATTGTGGCATGGCCATCCCCCCGGGGCGGTGTCTCATTTTCTGTCTCTCTTCCTGGTGAACACGCCTTATAGCAAAAGCCTCTTAAAAAAGAAGGAAAAAAGCCAACTTTAACATACCATAATGTATATTTTTGTGGCTACATTTAATAGTAAGTATATTCCCTTACTCACCTAGCACATAAATCTGTGGACTTGAACTTCTGAATTTAGTAGCAGAATTACAATGTAAATGGCATACGGAGAATAATAGTGGTTTGGATCTCTGAATAATACAAATAAAAATTCATGTTAAACATTGTTGCTTACCACTGCACAGTTCAATGTTTTATTAACATAAAATTTGCCATCTTATTTGTTAACATCCCAGTGTAAGTTCTAAGGAGGCTAAGAAAACTCACTTCAAAATCTCCTCCCCATTTCCAGATAACCCCAGCTCATTCATGTTTTATTCAGGTTTACATAAATCACTTGCAGAACTCAGCCTAAGTTGAGGATTTTGTGTGTAACAGTTTCCAATTCAAAAAATAAAAACTCACTGAAATTAGATATCATAAACAGAAGAAACAGCCAAGATAAAAACTGGTATGCTACCTTTCAAGTTCAAATGTGTAATGATAGAATTTCCCATGCTAGAAACAATGTAACAAATAGAAATATTGAAATCCTTAACCCACAAAAAGCTACTACCAAAGAATCATTAAAATATAAACAAACTCTAACTAACATAAAACAGCACAGGACTTGTGTAATGTCCTATTAACAAAGGGTAATTGCTGCTAGGGGCTTGAAGTGCTTTTCTTTCTCAAGAGCTTATGAGTCTGTCAACCTGCTTTTGTTTATATGTAATAAAAAGTTCTCCAAGTAAAAGGCTTGGATCTTATTCCCAGAATCCAGCACAAAAGTGAGTGTAAATTTCAAACTGGAAAATATTGTTGTCTCTAATAGGCGAAGACAACTGACTCTGATAAAACGCTCTAATTCTTGTACTCCTGGCAATAGCATTTCCTGATAGGATTGTCTCTTAGACCAGGTTAAGAAATTAGACCATCGCGTGAGCGTTTTCCAAAGAATAAATGATCCCAAAGTGTGGTACCTTGTTGGATGCGGAGTTTGAGGGGGGATAGAATGGCTCAGTGTGTAAAATTAGTGTAGGCTAAACTTCCTGGTTGATGACTCAGAAGGAAAAACAAACAGCATGTCCCATCATTTCTTTGCGGAGAATTAATTTAACCTCTGTTTTTCTCTTCTAAGGTCTTGTGGTAAGTCCTTGCTAATGTCCTTTCAGAGGGCTTCTTAAAAGAGAAGGAGGAGGTTTCGCAGTTCAGGTCGACTGGGTCCTAATGCAACTCACTGACCTGGACACTTTCCCTCTTCATCAGAGGCCTTGCTCCTTCTTCAAGGGATTGGGACAGAATTTGAGACGTCAGAGAGAAGTCTGGATAAAGGATATAGTGGTTGCTACCAAGAGCTGCTCTGTGAGCCAGAGGAACATCGTCACTTTAATGAAACCACGTCCCCTACCCCTGGCGTTTCTTCACCTTTTGCTGAAAGTTGCCCGTTGTTATAGCATGTAGGTAATAATAGTCTCCCAGGAGACAATGATAGATTCACCCTTTCCCCAAAACATGACACGCTGTCTAATCTGGAAAAGAAAGCAAAGGCTAGACCTTAGTGTGTAATTGAGAGACGATCAATCTTCAGAAAGCAAGCCTGACATCACTTCTGTGACAATTCTTCAAACCACAAGGGTTTGGGTCTCCTGACAAGGCACCAGGGCTGGTCTAGTGTCATCACTGGTCTCTGGCCCGTAGCCAGTAGGTCTTTGTAATTCAATACCAGACTCTCTTCTCTACTGAACTTCCTCTTGACCCTCCCTTGAACATGTGAAGACACTGAGCCCCCCCATAGAAGTGGCCCCACCACCGGGCTCTGGGGGGGACCCAAGGAGCAACCCAGAGCAGAGGTTCTGTCTCTCTGAAAGCCCCAGGGAAGGGTGTGAACTGGAGGTAAGGGCAGTGATGTGTTGCCTCTTGGAAAGTTCCTGCCTGTGTCTGGGCTCTGCAGTGTGAGGGGTTGTTGGCTGCCTCTGGCCCCGAAGCCCTGGCTCCTGTTTAATATTCTGACTGCTCCGTTGATGTTGTGCTTGGCCCCTGTGGGACTGCAACTCACGGCTTGAAACTGGAGCCAATTTTCTGTCTTCATCTCGCAGTGTTTTGACTGGAGGCAGATCCAGTTCAGGCCGATCAGGGCTGGTGGAAACAACTACCAAGTGTCTCTCTGTCTGCTTCGCTTTGGGAGAAGAAAGTGGAGGGGGCCCCAGAACGTTGCAGAGGAACTGGCCCGCGGAAACAAGAGGAGGGTGCAGGGGGAGTGGAGCAGACAACCTCAGCATCAGTTGGAGATTTTAGTGGAGATATCTTTTCTGCCTCCCCCCCCTTTTTTCTTTTGATTGATTAGCAGGTTTCATCAAAGGAGACTCCCAAGGGATTGACTAGAAAATTGATTTTGCCTTATTAATAGAAAGGAAGCGCAAGGGTTTTGGCCCTGCCTCTTAGCGGTACATTTTCTTGGGGAAGGTCAGGAGGAAAATGTGTTTCGGAGGCACCGCAGCTGTCTAGAACAGGGCTGAAGGGAATCTGAGAACAATAAGAAATGGGGTTTTAAAGATCCGCCCATGAAATGCAGATTGCTGAACACAGAGGCTGAGCTAATAGCAGCAAGAGTTTGCTGAGGTTTTCTTTGGAAAAATAATAAAATGTTTCAGGGTGAAGGGGAGGACTGAGAAGTTCCCCAAAGCAAAGGAATGAAGATGCCAAGGCCGTTCCCTGGCTTGCTCTTGATTAGGGCTCTTTTCTTTTCTTTTCTTTTTTTCCAGATCTGAGGTTGTCAGAGATGACTCTGGTTCTGTCCATGAATAGATTCTGCGAGCCCATTGTCTCGGAAGGAGCTGCTGAAATTGCTGGGTACCAAACACTATGGGAGGCTGACAGCTACGGAGGCCCGAGCGCCCCAGGGCCAGCACAGGCTCCTTTGCAGGGAGACCGGGGAGCTGGTCCCCCATTGGCAGGTATTGCCCTTGACCTTCCCCTGCTGCCCTCAAAGGCCAGACTGGTGGACAGGAGGCGATGTCTGGGGTGCTAATGCCCCAGGGACTTCCCAGGTAGCCTGTATGCCTCTCACAGAGGAGACCTGGGGTGATACTCCCATTGCGTTTCATCCGCTGTCCACCTGTGCTGCTGCCTGTTTATAGTTTTAAGAGAATCAAACCAGATATCAAAACTCTTGAGTGTAGGTTTCGGTTTTCATCCCTGTGGAACTTATGTGGTTCTCTCGGAGCTGCACAGGAAAGCCCTAGTGGCCTCGACAATGAAATCTTTATCCCGTGAGACATAAAGGAATCTGTACTTGGGGCCCGCAGCCCTGTGCCTCTTCTCTTAATAATAAGCACACAATTGGCTTTAGGATTGTAAGAGAAAAAAAATTAAGCCAAGAAAAGAGAAATATGTTCTTCCTGATTCTATATTCTTATAGTCTAAGATACTTTCCTTTGAATTTTTGTGTAGTACTAGCTATTAAAAAAAAAAAAAACTAAAATATAAAACAAGTCCTCAGTGAAGTCTGTTTTGCTGAAAAGGATTGAAGTGTGTAAAAATTAGACCCTACTTTTATTCATGGTTGACATGTTAACATTTTTGAGAGTGAAAAGGACTTCAGTTTCCCAAAGCTTTCATGTTAAGCTGAAAATGTTTGAAGTTTGTATTTTGAAAGAAGGACTATTATAATTCCATTGTGCAAATAACTCTTTCTTTACCGGCCTTGAGGCAATTATATTTGAAAGTTGTTTAGTTTTTAGTGGCTACAGTTAAAGATATATACATCTGAACAGTGGTGTTATCATGGAGTTGATTAAACAATTTGAATAAATACTAATATCATTTCAGAGTTGTTCTACTCCCCCCCCTCTTTATGAATTTGGCTGTTTGCCTGTGTGTAGAATTAAGATTCTGAGTACATAGTAAATGCCGAAATATGTCATTTTCCTCTCTAATTGCCTAGAAATCTTTGTCTAGCCTGGGTCACAGAATTCCCTATGATAGCAACTATTTAGACAAATGTTTATTTTGAATCACCACATGTACAGACAAATACTTCGCCAAGTTATCCTCTAGAAGGAAAGGAAGCAACAGTATTTTGTTTGGAGAACCTCTGGCAAACCGCATGTCATTTGTCATATCTGATTTATTACCACAGGATCACATTACAGGGGAATTTCAAATCCTATAACAACATCCAAGACCACATACTTTAAGAGGAAGTATGTGGAAGAAGAGGATTTTCACCCACCACTCAACAGCTGTAGCCATAAAGTATGTTTTCTTAATAGTCATTATTTTTATTAAGAGTTTAAGATACTTAGTAACAGTTGCTTGATCCATTTCCAGAAATTAAATTGTTTCACCCAAGCAATGAAAATGAACTACTTCTTTGTAAAGCCACATTAATCATTGTTCCTTTTTTTGGGTCCTGGGTTATTTTTCATAAGTGCTTGAACGAAGAGGCTCCTCTATTCAGAAATAACAAAAGTATTTCATTGAAGTCATGTCTTTTTTTTTTTTACTTTTGATTTAATTCTTTATTCTTCTTTATTTAATTTTATTTATTCATGCATTCATTTTCATTTGACTAGAGAGAGAGAGAAAGTGAAAAAGCAAGCCACTAGGTCCAGGACTCAAACCATGGTCGGCCACATGGGAGTGTCCAGCACCTTAGCCACTATGCTACCTGCTGGTCCCCTATGATTTAATATTCTGCAAGTTGCATTAAGGATTATGGTTATCCAACACTTTCATATTTGGGGAAATGCACTTGTTCTTTCTTGACTGTTCTCCCCAGTCAGAGCTCTGACTCTTGTGGCCAACGCTGCTTCTGTGTGTGTTTGCATAGGGCTTGTTATTCAGTGCTTTTCTTGACTTCTTAAAGGTAAAATCAACATCCGCTGAATGTACGTATGTAAGCAGAAACGTACACTTCATGGTCCATTCATATGTGTTAAGTTTGTTGAAATGTAGAATTAATTCCCAAGAAAAGACTAAACCTAACTTGTTTGCATGTACATAATAGAAAATAATAGAATGGGAGAAAAGTAAATAGAATTATGAAAGTAGACATCTAAGCTTTCGAAATAATAGTTCTTTTTTCCTTATGGTTTATCTTCCTTCAAAAACTAGTGGTTGTTTGTTTTATTTTGTTTTTAAGAGAGATTTTTGCTATAGGGTGCGTGTGCTCGCCAGAGAGACAGAGAGAAATCATCTCCACCACCACCCCCGGGAGGGGGGGGTGGCCATGCTGCAATCCCTTTTCCTCCATTCTCTTCTCAGGGTTTTGGGCATGCACGCACATGTGCCCAGCATGAGTTTTAGGACACCAGGTCCAGGACTTGAACTGCAGTTGATTATATGGCAGTTCAGAGACATAACCATTATGCCATCTGCTGGTCCTATCTACTGGTTTTTATTTTTACTTTGCTAGAGGGCATGTGTGCTTGCTGGAGGAGAGAGATGATGGGAGTGGAGGTGAGTGAGAAAGCACCCCCACACACACTCCCCCAACCCCCTGCCATAGGTTATAGCCATGCCACAATCCCTTTTCTTCCATTCTCCTCTCCTCTCAGGATTTTGGGCATGTGTGCACATGTGCCCAGTGTATTTTTCAAGCTGCCGAGTCCCACACTCAGCCACATAGTTGAACATGTGGGCTCCAGGCATCTTAACACCATGCCAGGCATAGTCCATTATCTGCTGATTTAATCAGGGACGGTATCACCCCCGGCCATAGCTGTCTAAAATGCAGAGAGGATTTTCAGTCCATCGTCCTCTCTGTCTCCTCTCATCCCTCACCCATTGCTCCATCCTTTAATGTTCACTTTCACCCTCTCAGAAGGAGATATCAGCCTGCATTTGGCAGGTGTTGGCTTTGTCCAGTGTGTGTAGTCCCTGCCTTTGGCCAGTCTGGGCTGGTTTAGTTCACAGCTCCTCTGGTTATGTTGCCAGTTTGCCTTTTTTATGACTTGGAAGAAGAGTTAGTCCCCAGGACACAAGCAACTTATTTCCTTTTTTATTTCTGTGTTGTGGTTGTAGCAGTTTTTCAACTGCTACTGGATTTTCACCATCACATGGTGACTGTCATTCGACTCAAAAGAGAGTCTTCATTTCCTCCCAGCATCTCTTCTCCTCCTGGTGCCAAAAAGAAGCCTACAGGGTCTGTCCTTCAACTGTCAAGAGCTGAGCCTCATTAATTATTGTTGTCCTCTCATCGAGCAAGGATAATTGCATGTGTGAAACCCTGAGGATTACAAGAGGGACAGTACTGAAATCCAGTTCTCCTGCTTGGTTGCTAGACCAGGGTTTGAAGTTGTGACCTGCATCACACATCCGGACCTTTATTGTTATACAGTGTATCCATGTGTGGGGCCAGCTGTATGGCTTATTGGGTAAGGGAGCTGTATCCCACATGGCTGGCTGTAGTTCAAGTCCTGGCCCTGGCAGCTTGAAAAATACTCTCAGGGCAAGTGCATATGTACCCCAAATCCCAACAGGATGGAGAAGTGGAAAAGGGATTGTAGTGTGACCACATCCCATCGGAGGATGCTATCTCACTCTCTTTCTCTTTCTGTCTCTCTCTGGCAAGTCTATACACCTTCTGGCAAATTTTAAAATATGCATGAATGTATGTGTCTGTGTGTGCAAGTGTGTTTGTGTATACACACACATAAAGTACCAGTATTACAGTACAGGCTGATGAATTTCACAAAGTAAATAAACCGCGTAATTTACATCCACGTCAAGAACCAAATCATAACGAGCTTCCAGAATACTTCCTTGTGCCCATTTCTGGTCCCTCTCCCCTCACCAAGGAACTGCTCTCCTGACATTCTAACAGCTTAGATTAGTTTTTGTTTCAGCATCCCCCTCACTAGGCCATTAAATATCTCACCAGGTGACTTGTCCTTGCTGAGGTCTGCAATGTGTTTGGGTCCTCTGGTGCTTGACCATAAAAGTGAGTCAGAAAGCAGGCCGGGGCTATCCAGAGTCATGGAGATTAAGAGACTGGCCATATAGCCAGCAGTGCAGTTCAGTCCCAGACCTGGCAGTCTGAGAAAACATACTGGGCACACATGCATGCCCCACAAAAGGAGGAAAAAATGGAAGAAAAAGGATTACAACATGATTTTCCCTCAAGGGGAGGTACTTTCTCTCTCTTTCTCTCTCTCTGTGTGTGTGTGTGTGTCTGTAAAGTGTGGATACCCCCTGGCATATTTTAAAAAATAGAAGAGAGGGCAGCAGGTAGATAGTGGCTAAGGCATTGGACTCTCATGTGGCTGACTACGGTTTTTGAATCCCAGACTAGGCAGCTTGAAAATCACACTGAGCACCTGTGTGTGTGGCCCAATATCCTGGGAGGAGAAGGGACTGCAGTGTGACCTTCCCTCTGGGGGGTGATTTTTCACTTTCCCTCTCTCTATCACTCTCTAGCCAGTGCACATGCCCTTTAACAAAACTCTAAAAAAAATTTAAAAATAAAAAAAAAAAAAAAAGAAGAAGAAGAAAAAAAGAAAGGCAGGGGTGGGGGTTGCAGAGCTCCAGCAAAGTGAAGACGCATCATCTAAATGAATTGGGGGAAACAAAACTACAACATCCCCAGGCCCAGACTCTGCCCAGAAAGAAATGTGCTATGATGAGGCCTTCATGTAGTCTGCTTCATAAACGTCCTCCCCCTCTTATTTCATCCTTAGACCATCTCCATTTTCGAGGAACGAGCCCACATCCTTTACATGTCCTTAGAAAAGCTGAAGTTCATCGATGATCCTGAAGTGTACCTCCGAAGGTCCGTCCTGATCAACAACTTGATGAAAAGGATCCACGGAGAGATCATCATGCAGAATAACTGGTGCTTCCCTGCCTGTTCCTTCAACGGCGCCTCCGCCCAAGAGTGGTTCATGGCTCAAGACTGTCCTTACCGGAAACGACCACGGATGGCCAAAGAGGAGTGTGAAAAGTTTCATGCCTGCTGCTTTTACCAAGAATGTGGTGGTCACTACTTAAATTTACCCCTGTCTGTCAACACTAGTGTCGAAAGTGCCTCCACCTCTGCCGCCTCCTCCACGTCCTCCTCGTCGTCCTCTCCCCCTCTGCCTTTACCGAGCTGTTCCCACCAGGTGGACTTCGATGTAGGCAGTGTGCCTATTTACAAGGGTGATGGCCAGATCCCTGCCAATGAAATCTTTGTCACTCATGTCAGGTCACCTGGTGTTCAGGAAAAGGCCAAATTAAATGAGGAGAAAGCAAATAATGACATCAGCAGAGATGGTGGTCCCCTCGGCCATGAACCTATGGGAAATGACCTTGCTTTTGAATGCAAAGGCCAATTTTATGATTATTTTGAGACTGGTTATAATGAAAAAAACCATGTAAATGAGTCTTGGAAAAAGTCTTTAAGGAAAAAGGAGCCTTCACCAAGTAACAAACCATGCTGCAGCAAAGGGAGTAAAATCTGAGCCATCTTTGCCCTGAAACTTTGAAGCATGCACAGCATGACCAATTAGCTCTCATAAATTTTATTTTGAATGGATTTTATAGTTTTGTACAACTGATAAAATTATGCCATGAACATGCCGTGTCGTTTTAATGCCTGGAGAGCAGATTGCATAAAACATCTGTATAGTAGGCCTCTGTGAGCTACTTATAAATGTGGCAATTTTACCAAGGAAACGGTTGACTTCATGCTTAAAAGTGTATCTTAGTTTTCTTATAGATATTAAAAAATAAATGAGTAGATTAGATTAGGGGACAATGTGCCCTTGTGATATAGTTCCACTACCCACGCACACCCCACCCGCGCAAGGAGCCTGTACT